TCCCGGCGAGGTGATGGGGATCAGAAGCAACACGAAGTTGTATTCTAGAAAGATCTCCAGGCTCTTTGGGGAGCAGAAGAAATGCTAGGGCTTACACACCGGAGTAGAGGCTAGGAAGGGGTTGGGGGAGGGGTTGGCCCTGTCTGGGCTCAGCAAGTCAATGGGTGATTAACCGGTGCTTCAGCTGTTGTTTGCATCACTGTTGTGGATGCTGGGCTAGTGCCTCAGTGCTGAGCTATATTCCCAACACAGTTTCTGAGAAGTGTACCCCCTAGCCTTCGTTGTATAGCAGTTCCTTGGGTGAGTGAGAGTTGAGTCAGACCAGGCCAACCTAGGATCACTTGGCTGTCTGAGAATCTCGGGATTGTGCGAGGATTGGGATGAAAAGAAAACATTGAAGACAAGGCTAAGAAATGTCACCTGTGGCCCTACCTTTCCTTCTGGGAGGCGGCTTTATGGGATCAGACTGCTTGGATTCCAAGCCTTCCTCTACTATTTAACCTCTTAGAACCATAGTCAAGTAAGTAATCTGTCAGAACTCAGAGGATAGCTTTTAAAATGGTTATGAGAATTAAATGAATGTTTGGTGTGATTCTGGCTCATGATAAGCACCCAGTAACCTGTTAGCTGTTATTTCTAGTCTCTTCCCTCCGCTTCTCTCTTCTTGTTCTCTTTGTCCTTCTGAATGCTCAGTTCTAAGATACCCCTTAGGTGAGGGCTGGGATGTTGTCTCAGGATGCTTCCATTGGTCTCCGTGAATATATGATGACCAGATGATCAGGTGTCTCATTTTCATTATGACTCCCCAGTCACTGAGCGTCTGTTATGCTCCAGGGAAGCCCAACAGATCTACTTCCCTTTAGTTTCTTTCCTTTTGTCTTCTTGCACTGTCTACTTCAGAGTTCACTCAGAAGATAAGTGACCCAAAATTGTACTGGTATTGCAGCCCACCGGTGAGAGGAGCAGGTTTTTCAGGGAAGAGGACAGCACAGGGGAAACTTGTGGAAGGGAAGGCTCTGACAGTTCCACAGTCCTTTACATTCCTCCCATTGCTCTGTCTTCCCTGGGTAACTGATTGAATAGGCCAGTGTTTGAATTCTGGCCAGAAGTCTCCATCCCAGTGTGAAGGTGATCATGCACGGTTAGCTTTCTGTCATGTAACTTTTCCCATGAGTATTTCACACCAGCTCCCTTTCCCTAAGCCAAAGCATCTCCACTATTCTACATGCTTCATCACAGAATTTGTACAAGCACGTACGTGTAAACAGTGTTTTAGGTTCTGTGCAAAACCCCACCAAAGTTAGGGATGAAACTGTTTGATCAAAGCATTTCAGGTGGAGGTCTAGACAGTCAGGGGAGGTATAAAAAAGAGAGAACAGCCTGAGGAGGTGGCTTAGTAAGTGCTCGTTGTGCTGGCGTAAGGACTACAGTCCAGATACCCAGAACCTACAAAAATGCCTACTTCCTGTAATTCTAGCCTTGGAAGGCAGAGATTGGATTACCAGAGCAAGGCAGCTATTGCGGCTGACTGTATCAGTGAGCTCTGAGTTTGATATAAGAGACTCTGCTTTCCTCAGTGAATGAAGTGGAAGATTGATCAAGCACCCCAGCATAAGCTTTGGGTCTCTGTGTGCTCATGTGCCCCCACGTCTTCAAACATTATGAAATGGAAAAAGAAATAAAGCTTACTTCTGAAATGTAGGGAACGCCACGCTGGAGTGGAGAGGCGGGTAATTTCAGAACCCAGCAAACATTCAGAGGTGCATGCCACTCTGCAGAGTGGTGCGCTGTATCCTGAACGGACGAAGAATGTGTGTGGGGGGTGTGCAGTAATGCAAAAGTCACACAGTCATCTTAAACAAAACAAGATGGTAAATTAACAGTTCCTATACAGAAAGCACCAGGAAAGCCCTCGGGGATGGGCCAGAGTGTGGGATTGGTTATATTGAAAGGCTTTGGATGGTAGTTGAAGAAAAAAAAATGTGTTTTGTTTTTTGAGATTGTTTCTCTGTCTAACTTTGGCTATCCTGGGACTTCCTCTGGAGGTTAAATTGGTCTGATTCAGAGACTTATCTACCTTTGCCTCTGAAGTGCTAGGATTAAAGGCATGTGCCATCATACCCAATTTACTAATTTTTTATTAATTTTTGGTGGGACAGGGTCTCTCTCTATATCTCTGGTTGTCCTGGAACTCACTGTGTAGACCCAGCTAGCCTTGAATTCACAAGAGATTTGCCTTCCTTTGTCTCAAATTAAAAGCATATGCCACCAGCATCTGACAGTAAGTTGAGGAATTTTATGGGATACGCAATAGGCACCACTGTACAGTCTTAAGATGAGGTTGGAGTCTTGCCAATTTAATCACTTGCAGGAGAGGTAGGTATGAAGAATATCAGCTTTCTCTGGCAAACGTTGCACTTCTTTTTTTTTGTTTTGTTTTTTTTAAATATTTTTTTATTTACTATGTATACAATATTCTGTCTGTGTATGTCTGCAGGCCAGAAGAGGGTACCAGACCTCATTACAGATGGTGTGAGCCACCATGTGGTTGCCGGGAATTGAACTCGGGACCTTTGGAAGAGCAGGCAATGTTCTTAACCTCTGAGCCATCTCTCCAGCCCAAACATTGCACTTCTAAGAGAGGCAAATTAGATTCAGTTGGGGGCTCATCTGAAGTCAACTGTGGGACTTTAGCCATGACCGTCTTACTTTTCTCACACAAGAGCGGAGTATTGGTGTGTGTAGTGGTACTCTTGTGCTGGGGGTGGAGCAAGAGGGTCAGGAGTTTCAGGCTTGGCACATGTCTGTAATCCTAGCACTTGGGAGACTAAGGTAAGAGGATTGATTGTTTTGTTGCAGGTTTGAGGCTAGAGTTAAGAGTGGAATATATAGTGCGTTCCTGGACAGCCTTATTATAGAGTGTTACCCTGTCTCAAGGTTGAGGAGGTGCTTTGGGGGCGATTTTCAGGTCTCCTCCAGCTCTAAATTGTATTTTCTTGATAGTAGGCCTTACCAGTGGCTCTCAGGTTTGGTGGGACTTAACAAGACTAGTCAAGTCAAGAAGCAAGTATCCATTCCAGCCTATGACTGCTCCCACCTTAATTTTTTTTCTAAAATTTCTATTACTTATTTTGGATGAATGCACATGTGCTACAGTACATGTATGGAGGTCAGAGGAAAAATTATGGAAGTCAGTTCTCTATTTCCATCATTTGAGTTCTCAGGCTTGAAGGCAAGTACCTTAATCCACTGAGCCATCTCATCAATTCATTCATTCATTTATTTATTTTGAGGCAGAGTCCCAGCAGCCAAGGGCCTGCTATGCACTATATAACCCATACCGGCATCAAACTCTGGATCCTCTCTATGTCCACGTGCTAGGATGACACTGTCAAGCCACTATGCTGAGTTTACCTCTGCCTTTAAGAGTTTTCACTGTAGTGGAGTTGTACTAGATATTTTAGTTCATTAAATCTAGCATGTGAGTATCCATGTTTAGAGTAGTGCCACATGAGACAGCACATTTGGAACTACACCAATGCCTGTAAACTTCCAGTGGGTGACTCTTGACAGGAAGGGATGTGGTGTCGAGCATATAAAAGAGGGCTTGGGCTAGTGCGGTGGGCTTTTGTGGGAAATGTGTGTTGGCTGTGAAGTGTATATAGAACCTAGGAGAGGTGCTCTGTGCACAAGTGAATACCTGAGATGGGAGGAAGCCTGAGTATGGCTGAAGCACAGAAGACAGGTATGGAAGAGGCTGAGGCTGGCAAGGTCATTGGCAGCCTTATAGACCTGACTGGATAGGGCTTTGGCGTTCACTCTCAGAGCAGTAAGGAACAACTGGAGAATTCGAAGCAGGTGCTTATGGGCCTGAGGTACATTTTGAAGAGTGTATTGTGGGTACAGTTAGAAAAGTGGATTTGAGGAGAACAGTTTGGGAGGCCACATAGATCAGATGGAAAATGTGGGTTGGGGGAAAATGGAAAGGAATGCCTAGATCGAAGAAATCTTTTGGAGGTAAAACTAAGAGAACTTGGGCTGTATTATCAAGGATGCTATAGGAAGTAACTCCCAGGTCTATCTTGGGCAGGACGGGATAACATGGGGGCCTGATGAGACTCAAAGATGATTACCTGGTAGGTTAAAGCAGCTCAGGGAGGAAGAGTAGAACACAGCATTTGATTTCCTCCCATGGCAGCTCGTTTCTGACATTCCCTACGGATAAAATTTCCAGGGAACAGGAACAGTGCCCTTAGTCGAAGACAGAGAATGGGGTCATTTGCAGTAGCTTGGCACATAACTACTTAGGACAAGGTCAAAGAGATTTTTACTAGAGATAAAGGTTAGAAAACGTTTTTAACTGTCCAGGCCTCCTCAGAATAGGGGTAACTGAGAAGCAGTTGTGAGGTGGCTCCTGTTCCTCCAAGCTCCCTAGAACTCTCATGCTGCTTCTCAGCCTCCAACTAGGAAGAAGAGCAACTTTTAGCTTTGTCTTTTTGAAAAGTGTATGAGCTGAGTGTGGGCACACCTCTAATCACAGCATGCAGAGGCAGAGGTAGGAGGATCTCTTGAGTTCTTAAGCTAGTCTGGTCTATAGAGTGAGTCCCAGGGCAGCAAGGGCTACATAGTGAGACCTTGTCTCAAAAACAAAAACAAAAAAAAGTGTGTTAATGCACTGAGGCCAGAGGAAGATGGCAGACATTTATCCATCCCTCTCTGACTTATTTGCTAGAGATGGCCTCTCACTGAGTTAGGCTGGCCGCCAGCAAGTGCTAATTAATAATCGACCTGCCTCAGCCCTTCACAGCACGGGGTTACAGCCATTCACAACCTGTGTGCATGTATTCTGGCATCCAAACTCAGGTCCTCGTGTAGCAAGTGTTCTTACCTACTGAGCCATCTCTCTAGCCCTCAAAGTGCTTTTAAAATAAGGTTTATTTTGTGTATTTAAGTGTTTGCTTGCATGCATGTCTATGCCTGGTGGATGCCCAGGAACTGAAGTTATACATAGTTGTGAGCTACCATGTGGGTGCTGGGAACTCAACCCAGGTCCTCTGGAAGAGCAGGCAAGGGCCTTAACTGCTGAACAGTGTCTCTAGCTGCCCCCACCTCCAATTATTTTTTGAGCAGGTAATAAAGCCATATAGTTACATATTTATAAGACACAAAGTTGCATACTGTTAAAAGTCTTTTCCCTTCTGTCTTTTGTTTCTCTTATCACCAACATTTAAACATGGTAAAGCTTCACTGCACCTTGCCTCCCCCACCTTGTCACTGTATCGTAAGGTGTTGACATTGATCCATTCTTATTTATGATTGTAGTGTTCCATTTTATGTTTGCGTATGAGGAATCTTTACTGATGGATATTTAAGCTTATTCTCATCTGTGTTTATAAAAATGAAGACTTTGTACATCTATAATTTTATGCATATCTACAATATATATAGAGAATGACATTTTAGAATTGGAAATTTCATAGAAATTTGCTTATTTTGTTTTAATTCATCCAGTATTTATTGAGTACCTATTGTGTGCCAGACCCTGCAGCAGGTACCAGGAATCCAGTCTTCAGCAACTCATGTGATCCCTGCTTCTGTGGAATGGCATCACCCTCTAGGAGGGCAAACCATGCCCAGGCAGACATTGTAATAAAATTGTGTACATGAGGAAATTAAGGACGGGGATCAAATAGAGAAGAAATTGGAGAAAACCACTTTAAATAGTGTCATGTGTTCAGCTGTAGGGAAGACAGGACTGCTTAGACTGTGCAAGCCTATGTTCGCGTTCAGGGTTTGTGAAGGAAGGGTAGCCATCAGAGGTGAGGAGGATGGTCCAGTTGGTGTTTGGGAGCAGAAGTGGATCAGGTGGATGAGTGAATATGAATCTGGGTAGGAGGAAGCTGGTTGTAAAGACCCAGGACTGTAAAGGACCAACAGCCTTGGATTGAGTCTTAAACCCAGTAAGTTGAACAAGGGAAGACAACCCCTAACTGACTTGAGAGAGGTGCAGGAGAATGAATCGATGTCATGGGAAGAGCCAGATGCCTGTAGTAGAGCCTCCTGTGACTGCTTTGGCAAAACGAGAACTCCCAAAATAAAGATGACATGAAGGCCTCCGTCAGCTGGCTCTCTGGGCTAGCACAGGAGAGCAGAGTTCTGCAGGGCTCAGGCTCGGAATGGGCGGGATGTGGGGCTTGGAAACTCCTTCCTGAACTTGTGTTTCTCTTTCATCCTCATCCCTCTGCTTCCCTTCTGCAAAAGTCCATCTCTGTGCCCATCCTGGGTCCTATGACTTTTCTCTCCCTCAACAGTCGGTTCCCGATTCTGGTCCCCGGCCCCCAGCAGCGCCTGCCCCCTTCCCACCGGGGCCCCCCATGATGCCACCACCCTTCGTAAGTTTTATGTGTTTCCCTGGGCTTGGCTTTTCCAGCCTGCATCCTCAGCCCCCACCCTACCACTGCTGTGTTGCCAGCAAGAACCTGTACCACACCCTTTGGTATTTGGAAGATGGGTGGTGTTGAGCGCTGGGGTGGGGAGAGCTGTTGCTTAAGCTCAGTCCATAAAGTGACAGTTCTCTCCCTTTTGCTTTGTCCTGGGGATGAGAGGGGCTGGAAATTGGAGAAATGGAAGGGAAAGACCCCTAGTGGAGTGAGGGCTGGGGAGGCTTCTTTCTCTTTCACTGTTCCTTACCTGTGCTCTTTACAAAAGCCTCTGAGTTTTGGGCTGCAATAGCATTGGTGGTCATGAGTTAGAAAGGGATGGGAGGCAGAAGCCTGGGATCCCTGCCGTCTCCCCTTACTTGAAGGTCTCTTGGGGGGAGTACAGCGTCCCCAGTCTGGTACTGTTCCCTTGTCCTTTTCCTTGCCCTCCCCAACTTAGGAAGCTGCGTGCTTACCATTGTGCCGGGGAATCCTCAGTTACTTGTCTTCCTCAGTAGTGAAGGGGGAGACAGTGATGCCCTTTACTTCTCAGATGGAAGCCTTGGAGTCACCTCTTGGTCAGGATGAGGGTTGGGGAGTGCCTGACATAGGTGGTCTCTGCCGTAATAAGACAGTGTCCTCTGTTCAGTGACTTTTTCTTTCCTCATTTCCAGATGCCCCCTCCAGGGATCCCACCTCCTTTTCCTCCAATGGGGCTGCCCCCTATGAGTCAGAGACCACCAGCCATTCCCCCAATGCCACCTGGCATACTGCCCCCAATGCTTCCACCAATGGGGGCACCACCACCACTTACACAGGTAATTGTTCTTTTCATGGGGATCTTTAGCTGGGAAAGAGATGGGAGTAAGCATCTGGGCTTTAGAAATTGGAGAGGGAGGAGAGCTTTGGGCCAGATTCATCAATTTGTCTGCTGAATGATTAAAACCGTTCTCATGCATGGTGAGTATCCAGAACCTGGAGAGTGCTTGAGAGTATGCCCTAGATCAGGGTTGGAGCCACAAAGGGATCTCTCAGGGAACCCTACTCAGAGATCGATCTGCCTAGCCCTTACTTACTAACATTGGCTGCTGGCCTTTATATCTATAGATACCAGGAATGGTACCTCCAATGATGCCAGGGATGCTGATGCCAGCGGTGCCTGTCACTGCAGCGGTAAGTGCTAGGGGCAAGTAGGAAGCAGGCTCTGACTTGCACTCTGTGGGTCTGACTTGAAGTGCATGGATGTGGACTTCTGTTCTCTCCCTCCTGTTGTGTCTGCTCTGGTCCCTCGCAATATTCCTCACGTTCAAATCCTCACCAGCCACATACTCAGCAGTTTAGTTTCCCACTCGTCACCAAAGGCAACATGTTCTCTCGTTACCTCTTGGGCCACACCCAGCACCCTTAAAGACTCACTCATTCAGGTACTCCTGCATTCTAGACATGCTAAGAAGCTTTCTCATATCACTTCCTCTTTGTCTCTGAAAGAGGCAGTGGCACCTTCTTGTGCTGTTGCTCAGTGTAGTGGAGTCTCAAGTGGGGTGTAAAATGTTGGCATCTGCTGTGAAGAGATGGATCTCAGGAGCTGACTCAACAGAGTACTCTTACTTGTGGAAAACGAAGAAAGGAGCTACCGTGTGACTCCTGTGGGACCTGAGAGTCACAACCCTGGTGGGGTGGAGGGAACAGGACTGTTAGAAGGCAGAGATCCCTGGGAACAGGACACACAGATCCTGGCCTGGCCTGCTTCTCCATCCCCCATGGCCTGGGTCCTGGGGGCCACTGGGCTTGGCCCCAACCCTTCCCCCTCCTCTTTCTTCGGCAGACGGCTCCGGGTGCGGACACCGCCAGCTGTGAGTCTTCTGGGGGCCTGCTCCCCCCAGGCTCGGAGGTTGGGGGGCACAGGGGAGAGGGGACCATGGACTGGAGCCCACGCTGGATCATGCCTGTTGGGATGCCAGGGATTTTGGGATGTTGATGGGATCAGGGGTTATTTATGGGACGGAAGAAGGGAGGAGTAAGTGGGGAGAAGACGGGGTCTGGAGCAAGGGCTTAGTAGGTTTCCTCTGGCTTCTTTTCTAGCTGCTGTGACTGGGGCTGGCCCTCCGGTGAGTGCCTTTAGCTTAGGTCTCTGGGTAGAAAGTGGGAGGCCGACTGGGCAGTGGTGGGGCACACCTTTAATCCTAGCACTTGGGAGGCCTGGGCAGGTGGATCTTAGTAAGTTCGAGACCAGCCTAGACAACAAAAAAGTTCCAGGACAGCCAGGACTGTTACACAGAGAAACCCTGTCTTGAAAAACAAACAAAACAAAACAAAAAAAGGAAAAGCAAGTGGGAGGCTGATGGTTGTCTTTGGGTGAGGAGAGTTTTAGGGAAAGGAACCTGACCACGATTCTGTGCCCCTTCCCCCCAGAGGGCCTTATGGAGTGAACATGTGGCCCCTGATGGGCGCATCTACTACTACAACGCTGATGACAAGCAGTCCGTGTGGGAGAAGCCCAGCGTGCTCAAGTCCAAGGCGGAGGTCCTAAGTGGGGCTTTCTGGCTCTTCCTTTTAGTGTCTCTGACCCTTTCAAGTCCTCGGCCTTCCTTGAATCTCTAACCATACTCATTGTGGTTCCTCTAACCCCAAGATCCCTGACTACCTCCACACTCCTTGGAATTCCCTCCCTAGGGTCTTAGGAAGTCCACTTTCCCCCATTCAGGCCAGGCCAGGTGACAACTAAAGACTACTATTGTATCCTCTATTCTTTGGGTCCCCTTAGCTCCCTTGACAGGCTGGAGAGCTGCCCAGCAGCTGATGACTTCTGACCCATCCTCTTACAGCTTCTGCTGTCCCAGTGCCCCTGGAAAGAGTATAAATCAGATACAGGGAAGCCGTACTACTACAACAACCAGAGTCAGGAGTCCCGTTGGACCCGGCCCAAGGATCTGGATGACCTGGAGGGTGAGGGGTCCTGGAGGTAGAAGGGGAAGACTGGGCAAGGCTATTTGGAGTCCTTTGCTACTCTGTGACTGTTATCTTTTCCCTTTGCAGCCTTAGTCAAACAAGAGTCTGCAGGGTAAGTGACTTGACCATGTATCTGTCCTTCCTTGGAGCACTTGAGGGAGGGAGTGAATTCATTGTTATCCTTCCTCAATGGGAGGAGAAATCTTATTTCTTTATGGGGTCAGCTGCTTTAGACTCAGTCTTCCCCAAGCTAGAGCAGTTGACCCACCCTGCCTTCCTGTCCTCACGTTGATACACCACCACACTTTTGGCTTATCACTTGCCTACAGAAAGCAGCAGGCCCAGCAACTGCAGACCCTACAGCCACAGCCACAGCCACCTCAGCCACAACCTGACCCTCCACCTATACCTCCTGGTCCCATCCCAGTGCCTATGGCCCTTCTGGAACCTGAGCCAGGTCGAAGTGAAGATTGTGATGTGTTGGAGGCTGCTCAGCCCCTGGAGCAGGGGTTCCTGCAACGGGAGGAGGGCCCCAGCAGGTGAGAGCTGCTCCCGTGCATTGCAGCCTCTTCCTTTTCAGAGACTTGAGAGGGACATGTGAAGAGTGAGCACTACCCCTGAAGGGCTCCCTGGGAGCAAGAAAAGGACAGTTCATTGCTGAGAGTGAAGGGCACTGAAAACTGTAAGAATTGTGGGTCTTGTGCCTGAGTCCTTTCTTCTCTCCAGTTCTACTGGACAACATCGGCTACTACAGGAAGAAGAGGAAGCTAGGCCAGAACCAGAGAGATCTGGCCTCAGTTGGAGCAATCGAGAGAAAGCAAAGCAGGCCTTCAAAGAGCTGCTAAGGGACAAGGTGCTTGGTGTGGGCTTCCAGGGAAGGCCTGGGGGTTGCGGAGGTGGACAGGCTCCAAGACCTATGCATATCTCTTCCAGGCTGTCCCTTCCAATGCTTCATGGGAACAGGCCATGAAGATGGTCGTCACTGATCCCCGTTACAGGTAGGCTTGAGCAGGAGGGGATAGTCCTTGTTCGTGAAAGCAACTGGGCCAGGAACTCCCTGAGATGTTCAACTTGACACTCAGGTCGAGTGGCTAGGGTGAGGTGCAAGAGAAGGGGAAGTAGAGTAGCTCCAGAATGAGAAGAGGGAAAGGAACAGCTATGTGATACTTAGTAAATGATTATTGGCTTAACCTGAACTGTAGGGAATAGGGGCTTTAGTAAGACGGGTTCCGATGGTGACTTGAGACCACCTAAGCGAAAGGGCTTAGTATTTCTTCCCCTCACTACTTACTCATCCCTACCCATATTCTGGACGCCTGTATATTAAGTCCATGCATGGGTTCCCAACTTGGTGTTGTGGAGGCCTTTCCCCCATGTCTTGAGACCCTGCTTCATGGGTTGTGCAGGCTAATTCAAGCTGTGTCCTTCCCTGTCCTCACCTTGTCCACTCTAGTGCCTTGCCCAAATTGAGTGAGAAGAAGCAGGCATTTAATGCTTACAAGGCACAGCGGGAGAAGGAAGAGAAAGAGGAGGCCCGGCTGAGGGCCAAGGAGGCCAAACAGACCTTGCAGCATTTCCTGGAGCAGCATGAGCGCATGACCTCCACCACCCGCTACCGGTATTAGGCTGGACTGGGGCTCTGGGACACCCAGAACACACAGGTCCAGGGTTCTGTTTTCTACCTATTCATAACCCATGTGCTCCACAGGCGGGCAGAACAGACCTTTGGGGACTTGGAGGTCTGGGCTGTGGTCCCTGAGAGGGATCGAAAAGAGGTTTATGATGATGTCCTCTTCTTCCTGGCTAAGAAGGAAAAGGTAATGGTTATAATCACTGGCTGAATTCTCCTAGCCCTCAATTTCCTGTAGATCATGGGTATTCATTTCTCCACTCAGCCAGTGTCCCTTCTGAATTAGAAGCTGGTGTAGAACTTTCCCCTTCCTTATTTCTGCACTGGGCCAATGAGCCTTGGATAGGGGAGGGCAAGGAGGACACTGATCTATGACTGATCTATGACTAAAGTCTAGCCCTCCTAAGGTTTTCTAGCTACCTCCTTTTCTCAGATCCTCCTTTGCCAGCCCTGCCTCACTTTCATCCCGTGGCTTTCCAGGAACAAGCCAAGCAACTTCGGCGTCGAAATATCCAGGCTTTGAAGAGTATCCTGGATGGGATGAGTAGTGTCAACTTCCAAACCACATGGTCCCAGGCCCAGCAGTACCTCATGGACAACCCCAGCTTTGCTCAGGACCAGCAGCTGCAGAGTAAGCCTGGCTCTCTGCCCTTTCTCCACTGATTTGAGACCTTGAGCCTGTCCCTGCCTGACCTGGAACCCCCCTCCTTCTGTCATTGTTTCTCCCGGACTCTGGGGTCCAGATGTTTCACATTGCCCCTCTGGTTTGCTGCTGTATGTCTATGTGGTGCTAGGGATGGTACCCTGGCCCTTACGTATGTTTTACATCAGCTTTTTTTAAACACATTTTTGTTTAGTGGCGCTGAGAATTGAATCTAGGTCCTGAGTTAGGCAAATGTTGTACTGCTGAGTTCTACCCCAGCCATAGGGTTCACTGTTTACCTGAACACGTGTGTCTGGAAAGAAATATGAAATCCTTAAGAGATGATGGTATCTATAGCTCAAATGAAGATGGTTCTAAACTGTCTTAGTATTGTGGGCCTTAACTGTAGTAAGGAATTGCTGGCTTATGGTTATTGACAAAATAATTCACCTTTTCTTTTAAACTGTTTTACTGTATTTCCCAATACATCATTCTCTCTATATATATATTCTATATATACTCTCTCTCTCTCTCCCTCTCTCTCTCTCTCTCTCTCTCTCTATATATATATATATATATATATATATATAGTATACAATATTCTGTCTGTGTGTATGCCTGCAGGGCAGAAGAGGGCACCAGACTCCAGAACTCATTACAGATGGTTGGGAGCCACCATGTGGTTGCTGGGAATTGAACTCAGGACCTTTGGAAGAGCAGGCAATGCTCTTAACCTCTGAGCCATCTCTCCAGCCCCAATAATTCACCTTTTAAAGCTGCATCAAAGCCTGACTGACTTCCAGTTCCCTAAGATGTGATGCCTCAGATTCTAAGATAAACTAGATTTTGATGATAGTTTGTACAAGCTGAATTCATCAGTCGAGTACTTGATTTTTTTCCAGTGCAATTAATAAATACTCCTCCCCAAGAACCACCATTAGTTGTACTTCACTTTTCTCCACCTAGCACCCACAGGGGAAGCCTTGGGAAATAGGGTTTGAGGGGCTCTCCCACTGATATGGTGCCTGCTGAGCTTCTTCCCTGTGTGTAGACATGGACAAAGAAGATGCACTGATCTGCTTTGAGGAGCACATCCGAGCTTTGGAGAGAGAAGAAGAGGAAGAGCGGGAACGTGCCCGGCTTCGGGAACGGCGCCAGCAACGAAAGAACCGGGAGGCCTTTCAGGTATCTTCCTGTTCTTGGGATCAGAGCTTGGCTCAGTTCTGCTCTAGACCGCAGCCTCTCTGTAGTGCCTCTCAGTGAGGTTGTTGACTAACCCCTTTCACATTCTGTAAGACCACTCTGCAGTAGTGCCCCTCCAGGGGCACTGTTTGTACCACCCTCAGACGTGGGTGCCAGCTAGACCAAGTATCTTTCCCTTTGGGTGGAGTCAGACAGTTTGTCCTCAGCTTCGAAGTAGTAGTGGGTTGACTAAGCTGGTCATAGTAGGAAATTGAAGCCAAGTTAGAAAATTGTGCTGCCTGCAGGTTTCTGATTTACTGCCTCTAGACTGGCTTATTTATTCTGTTTGTATATTCATGTTTCCTCCTTTTGTAGTGCCTTTGCTTGTGTCTGCGTCTCTGCCTCCTTTGTCTGAATTGCCCCTACTTGTCCAACTCTGCCATTCCCTTCCCTCCTCCCTAGTCCCTGGCCATGCTTCCCTCCCTCATTCTCCTATCACTGGCCTTTCCCTGTTCAGACCTTCCTGGACGAGTTGCATGAAACAGGGCAGCTGCATTCCATGTCCACCTGGATGGAGCTGTACCCAGCAGTCAGCACTGATGTCCGCTTTGCCAACATGCTGGGCCAGCCGGGTAAGGCAGCCAGGCTTTCCCTTGTCTGGTCTGGCTTCCTACCTGCCAACCTCTCTGCACCCTACTCCCTGGCTTGTCCTTGACCCAACCCTGGGCCTTGGGAAGCTGCCGCCCGCCAGGCCCCCATCTCTCCCTTTCTGCAGGCTCTACTCCTCTGGACTTATTCAAGTTCTATGTGGAGGAGTTGAAGGCTCGGTTCCATGATGAAAAGAAGATCATAAAGGACATTCTTAAGGTAAGAGAGCCTGGTGTGATGGATGGACAGAGAGACAGTGTGTGTGTGTGTGTAAGCCACACTCTAGACCAGGATCCCTAATTCAGATTTTTCAGGAACAGGGCTCCTTTCCCTGGGGATACAAATAGACACATTTTTCTAGCCAGATGTAGCAATGCATATCAGTATTCCCAGTACTTGAGAAGCTAAGGCAGGAGGACTGCTACAAGTTCAAAACCAGTCTGAGCAATAAAGGGAGTGCCAGCCAGGTTGATACCCTGTGTCAGAAAAAATAAAAACCAAAGCAACAAATCATTTTCTGCTCCTAGGAGCTCATGACCTAAAACAAGTTTAAGAAATATTAGCCAGGGACAAGTGTTACTACAGAGACAGAAATCAGAAGAGTTGAGAGTGATCTAGTGATTTCACCTTCAGGAATGAGTAGGTGGAAGAGGTAGAATGATGTAAGCATAGGGGTGCTACAGGAGCAAAGGCAAGTGGGTGGGAAGGGTGTAGTAGGCCTGAGAAGCAAGCACAGCTAAATGTAAACTCTTACCCCCACAGCTATGCCTCCCAGCCTGTAGGGTGTTTTGAAGAATTTGGAATTTATTGCTAATATTTTAAAATCAGATTTCACAAAAAAAGTTTTGTTTTGTTTTTTGAGACAAGGTCTTACATATCCCAGGCTGGCCTTGAACTCCTGGTCATTCTCCTTTCACTTTCCAGTGCTGGGATTATGGGTGTACACCACTATGCCTGGCTTCACATAAAAATCTGGCTCTTCAGTGTCTCTTGCCAGTTTGGATGATCTGTCAGCACTGGGCTTGTTCTGCAAGGCATGCCATGGACACTGGCATACCATGGCCCTCTTAGAAAGAGGAAGAGGGTGAGGCGTTTTTTCTCTCACTACTCTTTTACTGCCTTCTTAGCGCTGGCAAGGTCAGCTGCTGTCCACTAGCCCATGTGCCCTGTCATTTTTTTTCCTGGAGAAATAGTTGTCCGTGTCTGTCCAAGTTACAGATGTGAGTAAGCGAGTGAAGGGGGAGCAGTGTGTTTCTTTATGGTACTCTAATGTGTAATTCTATTGATATTCTAAAAGAAAACACTATTCTAATTTTCTAATAAATACTGTATGTATTTGAAGATATCGTCCAATACAATATCTAGCAGCAGGACTTGGGGTCAGAGTCCAGATGAAGCCTTTACGTGTCGTGTGAGCTTTTCTAAGGATCAGTTTCCGTGTTTCAGAAATGGCAAGTGTTCCACCAAGGGACACCCAGTTACTGAAAACAATGACTTGATGTCCAAGTTGAGAGGGACAGAGGTACTATTAGGTAGATCACCTTATAAAGCCATGGATGTTGATTGTAATGCTGTCACCTGTTTAATATGGACTTAATAAACCAAGTGTAGTGGTTCATGCCTTTAACCCCAGTGGAGGTTGAGAAAGGAGGATGGTGAGTCAGCCTGGGCTATACAATGGGTCCTATCTCTGAAGACCTGAAAAAATCCCAAGAGTTATGTTTCAAAATTACTTTTAAGTGAGATGCATCTTGTTGTCCTGGGATTGTCTCTATTTCTCTGGAACCACATGCCCACTACCACTAGAGCTTTGCAAAGGGCTTTGGGTGCTAAAATAAGATGCTTAGATTTTTTAATATTGTAAATGATAGCTCATATGGTTGTGGAGAAATACTTCCCAGTTTGTCTGTATCCTTAGGGGAAGTGGTAGTGAAAAGGTAGGAGTTTAGCTCCTCAAGCCTCAAGATCTTAAAAGTGATGACAGGTACTTGAGCTACATATTTTAGATCACTCTTGTCCCTGGACTTGATCCCAGTGCTGTCCTGTTATCAGTGCTCTTTGACACAAAGGTTGGAGAACCATATGATGCCAGGGACTGTGTTAGCGGGAAGGAAGAGGGTGGGGAGGATTGAGTCTAGGTGGCAGATGAGACAAGGTGCCATGGATTCCTTCTAAACGTGCTGAGGCCCAGCGTGAAGGTGGATCTTCCCTTATTTTCTAATAGAAAAGCTTATATCTCTTGTGCATTGAGGTCTGTTGAAGATTTTTATTTAAAAAATTGTTAATAAAAGTTGGACTGGGCATGGTGGCAGATAATTTTAATTCTAGCACTTGGAAGACAAATAGGTAATCGCTGAGTTCTAGGCCAGCTTGGTCTAGAGTGAATTCTAGGCCAGCCAGGGCCACACACATAGAGAAACCCAGTCTTGGAAAATATAAGTGAGAGTTGGGCTGGTGAGATGCTTTAGTGGGTAGAGGATTGCCAACAAGCCTCATGGCCTTAGCTGGACTTCAGACATCCACATGGGAGAAGAGGAGAACCAATTTCACATATGCCATGGCACATGAGTGTCCACATATACATGTGGAAAATATTTTAAAAATGTTAAAGGTGACATTTTATGTGTCCCTCTGACCTCAGTATTGATCAAAGGGTTATCAAGGTCACCAAGAACAATTTAGAGATTGCCAAGGACTGGTTTAAAAGTGTTTTAAGTCTGAGCGAGAACTCTGACATTTATAAATAAACAGGTAGGTAGGTAGGTAGGTAATTAGATAGATAGGAAGATGGGAATATTTAAACTCAGTGGGATAGAACCACTATAGTAGAAGTGCCAGATTATTTTGTGAAGTTAAGGGAAAGGTGCAGGACAGGCAGTGAATGGCAGCACTGTTTTAAATATTAAGGATTTTAAGCAGTGATAGTTAAGCAGAAAGAACTGGCAGTAGGGTGGATCTCTCTGAGTTCAAGGCCAGCCTAGTCTACAGGGAGAGTTTCAGGACAGCCAGGACTATGCAGAGAAACCCTATATGGAAAGCAAACAAAACAAACTGGCTGCAGAAGACAAGCATTCCTGAAGTAACTTTTAACCTGGGCAGCAGGAAGGAATAAAGCATATAAATGTCTTGCACAGGGTAATCTTGTAAATTATGAATACCTATCTTTAGGTAGGTAAATTTTATTAAATAGTTAACATTGGGCCAAAGTAACTGCTGGGCTCCTGTCTACACCATCTGAGAAAGTGGTGAGATTTTGGACAGTTCCAATTTCTACTCCTTCTTTTGGACTCCCAGTTTAGGAGGCCAGGTGACCTTAGGAGTTCCTGTGGCCACCCACAGTCACATGGACTGCAGGAGCACCTCTCATCGCCTAGGACAATGTAGGGCCCTGGACTTGGAGCAGATAGAAGACTGGAGATCTGGGCTAGAAGATGAACGATGAGTATGGGAATTGTGCATTAGAACAGCAGTCTGGTATAGATCTGAAAGTCAGCAGATGAGGGGTGAAACTGCCAGGGAGAATGTAGATCAGGTTAGTTAAAAAATAAAATAAAATAGCCAGGCGGTAGTGGCACATGCCTTTAATCCTAGCTCTTGGGAGACGGAGGCAGGTAGATCTTTCTGGGAGTTCAAGGCTATCCTGGTATACAGTGTGAGTTATAGGACAGTCAGGGCTACACAGAGAAACGCTGTCTCAAAAACAAAAAACAGAAGCGAATAATAATGAAAATAGTGTAAGGGCAATTCTCAGGAGGGAAGTGACAAGAAAGGTCAGGATACAGGAATCCTGGAGAGGAGGGTACTGCATCATTTCATAGGAAAGTAACTTCCGGCTGTTTATTGGCTGAAAACTCCAGAAGTTTATCTAGTGGTTCTGAGCCTCGGTTTCATCCTCTATAAAGTGGGGATAATCTATATACCACATTGTAAATTTTAAAAAAGCATTCATCAAGTGTCTTGCTTGTAACAGGCTCATGATAAATGCTTATTCCTTTTCCTGTGCTGTGTCCAAGGAACTGAGAGTCAGGAAAAGGAACAGCTAGCTCGAGAAGCTAAGTGCAGGATGGAGGGCTGTGCTAAGTAAAGGGGGCTGCGCCCTGGGAGGACAGTGAAGAGGGTGTAGGAAGAAGGTGCTAGAGGTGATGCTTGCTACACAAGTTTGAACCCTCAACACCCACATAAAGTTTGTGTATGTTTGTAGCCCCATCAATGAAGCAGGGCAGATATGATCCTAGCCTGATAGTTTAGCCAAAATGGAGAGCTTCCGTTCCAGCGAGTCCATAGTCTCAAGGGAGGTAGACTGAGTTGTACACTCAGACTTCTCTGGTTGTGTCCTCACTCGCACAGAAAGGAGGATGTGTTTGGAAGGGCTAGAGCCTTGACTGAGAAAGGACTTTTGGGGGAAAACAAGAGTATATTCCTGATATCAGCAAGCAGGAAGACTGGAGGAAGCCAGCTGTGTGGAAGGACAGGACAGTTGGCCTATGACAGTATTCCATTTACCTCTCACGTCAGCTTGGCCAAGTGAGATTACTTTCCTTCACTTCAACTTCACTGGGACATGGAGGCTTTTTGATGAGAAATATAGAGCCTGACCATGTACCTAAGACAATGGACATGTTTTTAATATTGCTGGAGAGTTATACTCTCTATGGCCAACATCTCTTCCAGGAACTCTGCAATCAGGGTGGGCATAGTGCTTGAAGCACAGATTTGGGAGTTAGACCTGAGAGACAACAGATCAAGTGCTTTCATTCTTCTTGTCTGCGTAAAATTAGAGACCGACTTAACAGAGAGAGCAGGAAGGTTAAAGGAGAAATGTGTCAAGCACTCAGCAGAGAACCTATTACAAAGCACTCAGTACAAGAGGCAGAGGGTGTAGCCCAGATGTTAAGAATGCATGGCAGCTTCCATGAGCAGCAGGAAGGCCCAGCTGTGGCCAGAGGAACAAAGGTGTAATTGTGAAAAACTCAGTCATCAATCAAGACTGTGAAGAAACTTCCTGACTTTCTTGGCTCCATATGAATCCACACAGGTTGGAGGGGGGGGGGTCCTGTGATGTGAAGACTTGGCGTGGTTTCTAAGGTATGTCACAAATCTTGTGGGTACTCTGTGAGAGCAGAGGCTTGAATGCCTTGCAGCCTGATCCTTTGTCCTATTGGCTTTGGGTCTGGGCCCGTGGTGCCTCTGGCCTTCACGCACTGCTGTGCCCACAGGACCGGGGCTTCTGTGTGGAAGTGAACACAGCCTTTGAGGACTTCGCCCACGTCATAAGCTTTGACAAGAGGGCTGCTGCGCTGGACGCAGGCAACATCAAGCTGACCTTCAATAGTGTGAGGGGATGGGCAGGGCTGGGTGGTTCTCTCAGTTATCCCAGTGTCTTGTTCCTCCTCACTACCCTGCTGTTTATCTTGGGTTTGGGAAATGATGGCAGGAGTCCAGACCCCACCTTCCTACCTCTTTAAAGTATGCCTGACTCTGTTCTCTTTCCCTTTTCCCTCAGCTGCTGGAGAAAGCAGAGGCACGGGAGAGGGAACGGGAGAAGGAGGAGGCACGAAGGATGCGGCGCAGAGAAGCTGCCTTTCGAAGCATGCTGAGGCAGGCCGTGCCTGCTCTGGAGCTGGGCACTGCCTGGGAAGAGGTCAGGAGCACAGCCTGGCCCCACTCACCCTCAAGCCTGAGGGCAGCGGAGCTTCTCCATCACTGAGGGCCCACCCCAGTCACAGCACAAGCCCTGGGCCAGCTCCAGTTCCCTTCCTTCCTCTGCCCTAGCCCTGCCCAGTGCTCGTGGCGTGTCCAAGCTGGGCCAGGCAGGGCCTGGTCTGATCAGCAGTGCTCTCCCCGTTCAAGGTCCGTGAGCGCTTTGTGTGCGACTCAGCCTTTGAGCAGATCACCCTGGAGTCGGAGCGGATCCGGCTCTTCCGAGAGTTCCTGCAGGTGCTGGAGGTAAGGCACTTGGCCACCCTGATCTGTGTACCTGGCCAGCCAAGGAAGGGGGCTGAGGGTATCCTAGAAAAGGGCTGGCTGAGACAGGAAGGCAGGTTCTCACCTCTCCCTCTGCGTCTAGCAGACTGAATGCCAGCACCTCCACACCAAAGGCCGAAAGCATGGCAGAAAGGGCAAGAAACACCATCGCAAGCGTTCTCACTCACCCTCAGTGAGTCGGCAGGTAGAGGGATGTGGGGGAGACTAGGCCATTTCCTTAGTGGCTCTGGACTATGTATGTCCCCAGCTCCCAGTTGAGGGCTTCTGGAGGACAGAACCCTGCAATGACTATGTCTCTTATCTGCTCAGGGTTCTGAGTCAGATGAAGAGGAGCTGCCCCCACCATCCCTCCGGCCTTCCAAGCGGAGGAGGCGGAACCCCTCAGAGTCTGGCTCTGAGCCCTCATCCTCACTTGACTCAGTAGAAAGTGGGGGTGCTGCCCTTGGAGGACCAGGCTCCCCATCGTCCCACCTTCTTCTTGGGCCAGGTAAGCAGTTTCTAGTAGCCTGGGAGCTAGAGGACTGTTGTCCTGACTAGAGGCAGAGCAGGTCCCAGACCCTTTGTAGATGAGGATGGGAGAGCCTGGCTGTGGAGCCACATTTCCCATTCCTGCCTCAGACCAGGAGCTGGATAGAGGAAAGGAATCCATATTCAGCCTTCCTCAGACCAGGAGCCAGCATCTACAAACAATGTACAGGGAAGATCATGATCTTCTCTCTCCTCCAGTGGGACTTAGAATGTACAGGGAAGAGCATGATTTTCTCTCTCCTCCAGTGGGACTTAGTATTATTATAAGTAATAATATATTTATTATTTTTATTTGTATTTTTGTAATAAATCTATAGATCATGGTCTTCGGAAAGCCAAGAAACCAAAAAAGAAAACTAAGAAGAGAAGACACAAGTCGGTGAGTAGCTCTCCTGAGATCCTGGAGTCTGTCTTACCGGCCTTCCAGCATGCTGCTCAGTTGCTCAGACGGATTCTGAACTCTTACAGAACAGTCCTGAGAGTGAGACAGACCCTGAAGAGAAAGCTGGCAAGGAGAGTGAAGACAGAGAACAAGAACAGGACAAGGACAGGGAACTCCGGCAGGCAGAGCTCCCCAACCGCTCCCCAGGCTTTGGAATCAAGAAGGAGAAGGTGAATGGAAGGACCTGGCTTTGGCCCCAGCCTGTGACATACTACAGGGGGCTCAGGTAAGCCACATCTTTGCTCAACAGACAGGCTGGGATACATCAGAAAGCGAGCTGAGTGAGGGGGAGCTGGAGAGGCGAAGGCGGACACTCCTACAGCAGCTGGATGACCACCAATGACCCCACGAGCTCTTTCTGCCTTGGGACTTCATGAGGCAGTGGCTCCAGGGCCATCCTCACCATCTGCCTCAGACTCCGTCTGTCTGGTCTGTGTCCACTTTCCCTAAATAACCCACCCCAACACACTACTGTTAGCCCCTCTCAAGGCTGCTCTTGGTGTTCAAGGGTCCCCTAGTTCTCAGAAACTAGTGCAGTCCTTGCCCTTAGCCCCAGACCAGAGATGGGCAGTCTATACCACACGGGGTGGGTGATGCCAGTAGATAAAGTGTGAGAAGGGGTTTCCAGGAAAGAGACAGGCTGGTGGACACAGCCTGGGTGGCAGAGGGCAGGGTCCTCACCCTCTAGCATCAGTGCCTGCTCTTGCCTGACCTGGCCCTGGGGCTCCACCATTGCTTCCTCTACCCCGGGACCTGATGTATGTGTTCTGTTTTTGTTTTTTAAATAATATTTATAACATGATCTACAACTATTTTGTCCTCTTCTTATGCTAACCACTGGGGACCAGCAGAGGGCACTGCTGTTCTAACCTCCTCTTTCCTGTGTAGTTAATGCCCACCCAGCCAGGCTTCCCCAGCCCTCTAGGCTCATCACTCCTGAGATGGGAGCAAATACCACTCCCACCCACTCCTATATATCCTCATGGCCACCCAAACCACGAAAGAGAAGACAGCCAGGTGCACAAGATTTTGTTGAGAGGTGTGGGGTTTATGTACAAGAGAGACAGGAAATGGTACATATACAAAACAAAGTGCCCCCGCATCCCTTCCAGGGTCAGAGAACCTAGTAGAGAACTGAGCAAATAGTCTATGAAGATTCTCTATGTTGCCTGTTCCGGCCAGAATCCACCTAGCTGAGGAAAGGTGAGATCCTGGCACATCCTTCCTCTAGCAGTCTTGGAGCTGGTGCTGTGTCTCTGCTCTTCTTCACTCAGTGGGAAGACAGCAGGCAGGGTGTGGTTTGGGCCCTTCCTTTCATTGTTTGGAGCAGGAAGTATCCCTCCAGAGTGGCCACCTGGGGTTAGCTGGTCCCGCAGTCACACTCTCCATGCTCAGTGTTAGCCCTTCCCTTTCCATCTTTGAAAGCCTCAAGTCTTACCCCCACAAACCTTTGGTTTTGAGGAAGTGGAGCAAGAAGCTCCTGCAAGAAGCAGGAGGTAATGCAGGAGAATCAGCTGGCTCAGGAAGCCAAGAAGCTGGATGCCAAGGTGGGTGGGACCAAGGGCCTGAAAGGCAGGACAAAAAACTGAAGTCTCAGGTAGAATGTGCAAGAAGGCAGTGGGCCTGACATTGCTCCTCTACCCTTTTTCACTAGGGCTCAGCAGAGTGGGCCCAGGTAAGGAAGGGCTTTACTCGGTGAGATGATCTGATATTGCCAGTCCAGGGATCTGTAAGCCTGGATATTTTTAGACCAGAGCTGAATGGGACTACAAAAAGGAAAAAAAAAAAAATGGGAGTACAGCATTCTCCTTTTTCATCCTATTAGACTCTAGTGGAAGAGGGGCCATTTGCCCGCATGAGCCAAAGCTGGAAGTGGCTTTTCCCAGCCCTGAATGAAGTTGAAAGCTGGGGGCAAGGTGCATTATGGGAGGCACTAGGGAAGTGCCAGGCCCTATAGATCTAGTACCCACGGTGGTACAGGGAGATCCAGCCCAGAGCTGGAGTGGCTGCGGCTGGAACAGCACAGCCCTCTGCTGGGCCCTGGGTCCACTGTCCGTACTTGCAGGAAGAGTTAAAGCACTTCTACCTCCAAGAGGATCTCAGTGCGGACCTGGAGCCCGAGGAGGGCCACTGGGTGGTGCAGCACTCCTGGCTTGGTTGTGAATGCTCTTGGGCCGGTGTTTGAAGCCTATGGGGAAGACAGATAGATGCATGTGAACAGGCAGGGAGACCGAGCAGGGCAGCACCTTCAGGAGGACAGGGATAAGTAGTCAGGTATAAAGAAGATCAGGGACGACCAGCTAGAGAAACTTCCGGAACTGTTTTCAGAGGGTAACACAGGGCTCTAAAGGCTACTCAGGAAAAGACCACAAGCCAACTAGATGTCAGGAAGCAGAGGTCATGGGACATCTGTCCCTGAGTAGCAGCTACTGGCAGAGCTCTTAGGGGAGATCAGGACCCTGGATACCTTGGGTCTAGGAGTGAAGCCTCAGGAATCACAGCCATAGGCCTGGACTTGTCTACTCTGGCATAGTTCCAACCCTGGCCAGACTCCTTAGCCCTTGGGTCTTATTTAGTAGCTAGGACAGAATTAGTGGGAGGAAACATGCAGGGGATAAACTGTGTTTCTCAGGGCATGCAGCATGCAAGAAGTCTGTCTCCATCCCAGGCAGACTGCTACCAGATGATTCTAAGGCATGCAGAGAGTGCAGCCATGGTGCCCAGTACCTGTCAGGGGCCCCAGCCTTGAGGGCTAACAGTTTGACTCATCGTGGTGGGCTGCATCACAGAAGAAGCGTGAGCCCCGCTTGGCAGTACGGGCCGTGAAAGGGACACTCTTCAACACTATGGCCCAGGAGAGATCGTGGTCAGGTTTTATGGGGAAACAGACTAGAAAACAGGACCAAAGGGGGTTAGCTTAGGCTCTGGGAATTGGGCCCAATGGACCAAGGTCCTACCTGTGATGATATCCTCAATGGTACCATCCTTCCCCTCGTAAACAGGCCGGTGTTCCTTAGCTTGGCGCCGTCTCAACTCTGCAATTAGCTCCTGCTGTTGCCATTTGTTTCGCTGGGATGGAGTCTAGGGCCAAAGAGTAGAAGGGGAAGGAAGTCATCACTAACCCAACAAGTAACTGGTTCCTGTCCCAAGATGCAGTCTGAAGATGGCTCTACTGAGAGAAATCCTGTGTCCTGTCCATCTGTGTCTGCCCCTCCCTCTGGACCCTTGCCTTCAGGCACTCTGAGGGAGGGAGGATGTGTGTGTGTGTGTGTGTGTGTGTGTGTGTGTGTGTGTGTGTGTGTTGGCTTTCCATGTCCTTTCTGGCTCCCTGAATCCTCAGGTTTTTGTTCTACCCTCCAGACCAAGATCTTGGTCCCACCCACCTTGGCATCCAGCTTCTTAGCTTCCTGAGCCAGCTGCTTCTCCCGCATTACTTCCTCTTGTTTCTTGCGAGCTTCATTCTCTTGTTCTGCTTCCTTAGAGAGAACCAAGAGAGGGGGAATGAGGCTCCCACAGGCTGGGAAAGGAGGGGCTGACATGAAAAGTGGGTGGCAGTAAGACCAGCTAACCCCAGGTGGCCACCCTCCGGAGGGGTACTTCCTGCTCCAAACAATGAAAGGAAGGGGCTGGGCCCCCACCCTGCCCACCAGTTCACAGCTGAGGCCTGTCACCAGCTTCCATGGTTCCTTTCCTAGGCCTCAGGAACTGGAAAGACTCACACTTGAAGCCCAGGTTCTCTCTCAACTATCTCAGCCAAACTCCTCTAGACACTTTTCTTCAGCTTACCTTGTAAGAACGAATGAATCGGACAAATACTGGGAAAAACACAGAAGGAGGTGTGGTCTTGGGACTCTCGCCAAAGTAGCGCACAACTGCATTGTAGGCCTCCTGGGTAAAGAAGGGGCAGACAGAAGGGCTATTCTGGTGGGTAGCTCAGCTCACAGATGGACAGAAGACCCACAAAAAAAAAAAAAAAAAAAAAAAAAAAAAAAAAAAAAAAAAAAAAAAACAACTTAAGGCCAAAGGGAGAAAACCAACTACCCAAGCCCCTGTGAACCATAGAGAATATGGGTGTTCCCAAAAGTCAATTCCAGACATGGATGTCTGCTGCTATCCTTAAAGTCCTTTGTGACTCCCACCTCATGTTCCCTAACAGCTGCCTAGCTGCCTGGTGGAACTGCAGTTGGATGCTGACACAAAGTGGCCTTAGTATCTCGGCTCTAGTCCAGTGGTTCTCAACCTTTCTAACACTATAACTCTTTAATACAGCTCCTTGTGTTGTGATGACTACTTCATAACTGTAATTTTGCTACTCTGACATGCGACCCCTGTGAAACAGTTGTTCAACCCCCCCAAAGGGGTCACGACCTACAGGTTGGAACTGTTGTCCTAGATGTTTGTTGCCTACTCCAATTCCTTGCTCACCTCAGCAGTCTTGGCATCACGCTGCAGCTTGTCCAGCCTGCCTTCATTGGTGCTGAGGAAGTTTCGAAGGACGCTGTTGTCATGAATGCTGCATTCCCGCCGAATCAGCTCCATGCCCCGGCCCAGCTCTTTCACATCTAGCAGCACATTCTCCAGGGACACTGTTTACCAAGATGTCTGGCTGAGGCTTGCTCAGGACTACAGCAAAGTTATCCTCCCCCATGGCATACACTTTCAGTGACACGTGTAGAGAAGTCCATGTCAAGCAGACTAAGCTCCCTCAGCAGTGGGGAAAAAAATGGAGGGCCAGGGTTCATAAGCCCAAAGGACAAGGTAGCAAAGGAAGGCAAACCACTGAGACTGCTCATCTCCAAGCTAGAGCTGCCTTGGGCCTGCTGTAGTTTTTCATGGGTGGAACAGATACAGCAGTACTGTATGTATTTAGGGGGCTTTATAATTATAGTTTTCTAACCATATCACATAAATGGTAGAGAAGTGCAATCTCTGGGTCAGCCTAAGGAAGCCTGATTCCACTTGAGCTCAGAGGAAGCCTCCCTCTGGAGTGGCCCCTGCTCACGGCTTTAGCGGAAAACTTTGAAGTAGTAAGATAACAAAAGCCAGAAATGAGCCCAGGTGTTCCTCTTGCTCAGCTTCCTGATACTGCCCCAGGCTGGAGGCAAGGAGCCCTCACCTGCTGCAGCCTTCTCCACGAAGTGCAGCTCATGCCAGAAGGTAGCCAGGTCTGGGTATTTCTCCTTCACTGTCAGGGCGATGAAGTGCAGCAGTGTCATTTTCCGGTCAGTGGACTTTGTGTCCAGCAGCTGCAAGGCAGTGGTGGGAACAGAGAGCTAAGCACCCTAGCTCTAACTAGGTAACACTGGTGTTCCAGGCTTCCTGCACATGCTGCTCCCATCTTACCAGATCCAGGCTCTGGAGCTTAAAGCCGTACACAGCACCTCGCTTGCTGCTGTTCATGTAGTTCCCCAACGCAAGTATGATCTGTTCATAAGATGCACGGAAGGCGGGTCATGAGAAGCTCCAAGGACTTCCTCCTTTGTATAGTAGCACTAGAACCCACCCAGGACCCCTGGGAACCACCAGCACCCCAGTCACACCCTTTCCCAACCTCCAGCATCTGCTTCAGTTTCTGTGAGGACTTGACAGAGGCAGAGGCTGCAATGATGGCATTCAATTGCTGGAAGACAAGATGAACACCGAGTCACCCAGGTTGGGAGAAGAATAAAGTCAAGGGGTAGGGCCAGAAGGATGGACAGCAGACATGACTAGTGATAGCAGTGGAAAGTGATTAGGGAAGAGGCTGTACCGGTGTGAGCATCTGCAGGTTGTCCTGGAAGTTGCCCAGAAAGGCCATGCCAGCCATTCG